CCTAAATCCCTAAACCCTACACCCTAAGCCCTCAAACCCTAAGCCCTAAACCCCTAAACCCTAAGCCCTAAACCCCTAAACCCTAAACCCTAAACCCCTCAACCCTCAACCGTAGTGCACATGAACCGAGGATCGGCAGGACGTTCTGATCTTCCAAGCCACCGGGCGGAAGAGGTCCCTGCCTTAAGGAACCGTGTATAAAACCCTCTCGGAGACTTCGAATAGAGTTTAGGGTTTAGGGCTTAGGGTTTAGGGGTAGGGTTTAGGGTTTAGGGATTAGGAATATAGGGGCCTAAATTGAATCATTACCTATACTATTTGTGGGGGGGGGGGTCCTTGTGATAATTACAGTAAAATGGGCCCCAAAACCCTGTTCTTATCAAGGCCCCTATATTATGAGGTACTTGACCCTCACGGCCCAAGTACCTAATAATCATAAACCCCAAACCCTAAACCCAAGATGCTACCCTACAAAACTACTACCCTAAACCGTTTTAGGGTTCATTTTTGACCTGAAGCTGCAACAGATTGGTGTCATGGGCGTTCATACAGTGGTATCAGGGGTTGCTAGGGATTCGGTAGGGTTTCTTGCGGCAGTGCGGGTGTAGGGCTAGATTTGAATTCCTATTAATAAAACCCCACAAATGTTCCTCATCCGTTGTAGTGCTTGGCACACTCCGGAAGTACTGATAACTTGATCGGTGGATGTACGCACATGAACTACAGGCACTTTCTTGAGAAGCCTTTAGACAGAAAGCGCCGAAGGACCCTAAGCCCTAAACCCTAAAACCCTAAAGCCCTAAAGCCCTAAACCCTAAACCCAACCCTAAGCCCTAAAGCCATGGTTTAGGATGTGCCGCAGGGCTTTGGGTTTAGGGTTTCCGGAAAAGGATGATTCGTTCTGGTCCTCCCTATCGTTTGCTCCCTTAAGGGCATGGAGGCGATGAACATCGATGAACTGTCAACTTGATGATTTGCGTGGAGCGTAGAAAGCTGTTCTGCATGTATACTGTTGTGCCGGGGTTATTTTCGAGATCAGTGTCTTCCTGATTCCTGACCCTAAACCCGAAAACCCTAAATCCCAATGCCTGGGCCTTAATCCTAAACCCCTAAACCCGAAAACCCTAAACAGATAAACCCTAAACCCCTAAACACTGAACCCCTAAACCCCAAACCCGAAAATCCTAAACCCCTAAACCCTAAACCCGAAAACCTTAAACCCGAAAGCCATAAATCTTAGTGCCTGGGTATTAAGTCCCAGCCATGCTGCTCAGGTGGCAGGCATTCGCCCCGCCCGCAGTGGCAAAGGACTGGCCACGACATGCCCAGAAAGATAATTGTCCTTAGATGGGTAGTTGTCAAAATTATGGTTCCTTTTGGGGGTACCCTAAATAATAGGTGCCGTATTATAATAAGGACCCAAAAAGGGACCATAATTTCGACAACCACCCATATGACCAGAAAGCCTAATACTCTTGAATCAAGGAGTGTACCTTGGATATAAGTAGGTATCGATCTTGAGGAGTATTGTATTGTTTAATATGGAGCCCGATGCATGATGTTGAGGAGTGTTGAAATCAACACCTAGTCTAGTTACCCTATTTTCCTAGTCGTGGGCTTACCCATACAAGAGGTGGCCTCAAGGAAACAAGCTTGGAGGATTTGCAGATGTCGACCTAAACCCTAAACCCTAAACCCTATAAACCCTAAACCCTAAACCCTAAACCCCTAAACCCTAAGCCAGCGATCCGCCGAACTCTGCTGCCCGTTTGCGTTTTCTAGTGTAGGCTCTCCTAACTACAACTCGAAAGTGGGAAAAGAGGCACTCTTGCTCGTCTTCCTAGGTTTTACATAACACAAACCTGGTGCAACCAAATTAAGCGCGATTATACGGGAATACTCAAACCCTAAACCCTAAACCCTAGAGAATATACCCCAAGCCCCTGCTGCAGGGTTTACTGCAACTTGCGCTGGCACTGCAAGTCGAAGCCAACCTCATTCTTCCGGTGCTTTGGTTCCGGATCCAAGCTTAATAATTAGAATAGGGTTTTGGGGCCCATTATACTATACTTATAATAAGGTTCCTGCAAAAGAGTATAGGTCGTTATTTAGGCCCCTGCATTATATTATATGATCCGGATTCCGTTCAGCGTTTAGGGCCAGGGCAAGGGTCAGTGCTTCCCAACTAAGTTCAACAACACTTCCAACATGTTTCGAAGGATCAGCCCTACAACCCTAAGGCCTAAACCCTATACCCAAAACCCGAAACCCCAAACCCTAGACCCTAAACCCTAAACCCTAACCCCTAAACCCCTAAGCCCCTCAACCCCTATTCAAACCTACAGTCTAACTCTGCTAGAGAAGTGCAGCAGGATCCTCTGCGACGCGGCAAAGATGGCGATGCCCCTTGACACATGGTCGGCTTTTCTTCGGGGTGTACCTTCACGCGTACTGCTTCTGTCTCGCTCTCTCTCTCTCTCTCTCTCTCTCTCCCTACCTCTCTAGCTGGATCTTTCGCTGTCTCTCTCTCGCTCTCTCGCTCTCTCTCTCTCTCTCTCTCCATTTTTCTCTATGTTTGTCAAGGCCGTGATCTTGCTAGTAATAACATCTCCGGCCTCCTGTTTGGTACACAGGGTGCTGGTCGCTCGTGGGAGTAAACGTGGCTATCGAAAAGTTGCACCACGGTGAGATTAGTGTTACGATCCTCATTGCTACAGCAAGCACCATGAATATTACCTCTATCGTTATTGTTCTCAAGTTCCCATCGTTATCACTATCACTATTACGACGACTACGTCCCAGCACGTCTTAATGCCGTGACCACGGTCATCACCAGCATCATCATCAGGATAATTCCCATCATCATCCTCCATCATCATCATCACCACCATCAACAGCATCAACAGCAGCATCACCATCACCATCACCATCACCATCACCATCACCATCACCATCACCATCACCATCACCATCACCATCACCATCACCATCACCACCACTATCATCATAATCAGCATTCTCAGCATCATCCTCATCGTCATCCTCAGCAACACCATCACCATCACCACCACCACATCCGTCATCAGTATCATGATGGTTAGCACTTTCATCTATCTTTTTCATCATCACCACTACCATCATCATCATCATCATCATCATCATCATCATGGTCTGAAGCCTGGCTTTGCTCATCGACTTGTCCGTTGGGTCAGCTTCTTGCATCGCCATCATCGTCATCACCACTGCTGCTGTCATTACTGCCTTGACTTCTTGACTACTTAAAACTGCATAGTTCGTACATGTTTTGTTACTTTGCTCCTCCTAAACCCGAGAACCCTAAACCCTAAACCCTAAACCCCTAAACCCTAAACCCCTCGATCCTAAACCCTAGACCCTAAACCCCCAAATCCTAAACCCTACGGCCCTAAATCCTGAACCCTAAACCCCTAAATCCTAAACCCTACAGACCTCAACCCTAAACCCCTAAATCCTAAACCCTACAGCCCAAAACCCCTAAACCCTAAACCCCTAAATCCTAAACGCTACGGCCCTACAGCCCTAAACCCTAAACCCCTAAATCCTAAACCCCTAAACCCTAGACCCTTCAATCCTCAACCCTACAGCCTCTAAACCCTAAACCCTAAACCCCTAAATCCTAAACCCTAAACCCCTCAATCCTCAACCCTACAGCCCTAAACCCTAATCCCTAAACCCCTAAATCCTAAACCCTAAACCCCTCAATCCTCAAACCTACAGCCCTAAACCCTACAACCCTAGACGCCTAAACCCCTAAACCCTAAACCCCTAAATCCTCAACCCCTACAGCCCTAAACCCTACAACCCTAAACGCCTAAA